AATGATGGTGCCAACTTGGGCCAGTGAAGCAACGTCCTCCACAACTAGACTGAAGAACAAAAGGACAGCAACTTGTCTGTTACCCTTCCCCCAATTCCCCAGCATTGTTCCCATCCACCCAATTCCCCAATAAAAATCTTAAAAAAAAAAAAGATGTGCTGGGTGTGAGGACATCCACATTTAGTTTTAGAAGTCCAGAATAGAAACACAAACAATAAGAAAAAATAAAAGTCAGGCTTTGTGGTTGTGTCAAGTCCCATTAACTAGCCTATCACTCAACCCATCTAAAATCTGGTGGTCCTCAGGGGCCTGAGGTAACAGCACAGCCTGACACTGAGCATAAAAATCTCCCACTGCCCTTGCTGCCGTCAGCCTTGATGGTGGAAGGGCTTTACGTGTTTGCGGCACAAGGCTAGTCACTGTGAGTTCAACTGGGTTCTTTGTTGTTTTCCCCTAGCTCCATAGAAAGAGAAAAAGGGCAGGGACACAGTGGGCCCTATTTTTTTTTTCAATTTTTCAATTTGTTTTTATTTTAAGGTAATTTTAGGTTTATGGAAGAGTGGCAGGAGCAATACAGGGAGTGACCTTATGTTTCACCAGCTTCCCCCGGTTATTTTACATAACTGCAGTAAAATTATCAAAACTAAGCAGCTAATATTGGCACAATACTTTTTACTAAGCTGCTAAGACTTTAATCCTTTTTACTAAGACTTTATTCAAATAGCATCGTTTTTTTTCCCCCCAATAATGACCTTTTGGTTGTTGTTTCACAAGAGTGTGTACTTTTTAAGGCTGTCTATTTAGGACACCCCCAATAAGAAATGTATCCAAGACTAGGAAGAAACAACTTAAAAGACGCTATAATTTTCCAATCAGTCTAACAAGTAAGCATACCCTTGCTAGGCCCAAATTAATCAGGTGACCATTAAACTCCAGGCAACGCCCTGGGGAGGCATTTATAGTCTGTGCACAGATACACCTCTGCAGAAATCTTGTAGAAAAGCCAATGACACTTCCACTGCTTTTTACTCATCACACTTGCAACCTGACTGAGCAAACAAAGCTGCAGAGACCTGTGTGCTAGATGAATCCTGCTTCTATCACTTACTTAGCTTGATGATGTTGGTCAAGTTACTCAGCTTCTTTGAGCCTGTTTCCTTCTTTTTGAAATGGGAATGAGATTTGGGAGGAATAAATAAAATAATATATGCAACACCCTGCTAGGCACATAACAGACATCCTACCTAACATTAGTCCTCTTTCAACCACAAAGCCCTTCCCAGAACCAAGAAATTTCTTATGTGATAATCTAGGCCACTGCTGTCCAATAGAACTTTCCATGGTGATGGAAAAGTTTTATGTCCGAACTGTTCACATGTGGCTACTGAGCCCTTGAAATTGGTTTAGTGTAATTGAGCAACTGAATTTTAAATTTAATTTTAATTAATTTAAATTTAAATAGCCACATATGGCTAGTGGCTATTGTATTAGACATTATACCTTGCTCTGAGGATCTGAGCAAAGAGAAGCCAGAAGTCCGAGCTAAGACAAAGGTATTGCTGGGAGCCAGGTGATGGGAAGAGGTGGTGGGTGTTATGTGTGGTCAGAAAAGCCAGAGTGATACGCAGCTAATTCAAGTCCTGCTTGGCCCTAGAAGGAAGGGCTAGTGGGATGATAGGAGGAGGTTGGTGGCACTTTCTTCTGCTGTGTGACAGTGCCAATAGCAGCAGCACAGGGTATTAAGGTGGTTTGCCGGTTTGGAGTCACCACTTGTTTTGGAAGCTAGTAGTGACATGAAAGAAAGCCACAGGGCAGCTCTAAAATCCAAATATGTCTAGCTCGGGGTTAGGGAGCCTGACTATGCTGGCAAGAGAATGTTTGCACATTGTGAATAAAATGATAAACAGCAGTTCCCTGGAGCCTGTCTCCAAAACGACAGGGAGTTTTAGGTGCTACCATGAATCTGTGTGGAGTATATGCACCTCCTGGGGAGTCCTGTCCCTTCCAGTAAGAGACTTTGGTAACCCATACATAGGTCCATGTTCTGACCAATTTTACTCTTTGTGCTCTGATATTTACTTTACAAGGAGGCTTTTTGAAGCACATGAACAGTACATCTGGAGAAGTAAAAAAAATCTGGTTGGGTTAAACACTACCACGTTTTCAGCGAAGAACAACATTCAAATATTCAGTTAGGATCTCTTCCCCTTCTCCCCACCTGCGAGAATACGTTTTTCTTTGACATTTGAGCCCGTTTCCCCTGTCTCTGATGTTTTCCTCACTGCCCTTTTTGCCTCTTCACTGAAGCAAAAAGAACAGAGCCTCGGCTAATTACTCTCAGATCAAATAATACTGGTTATTGTAATTGGTCATTGTCCGAAAACACTGAGTTCTTCTTAGCCCTGAGGTTGCCTGGCACGGCTTAGTTAGCTAACTATTCCGGGAATGTCTCTATTATCTGTTTTACTTTGCAAAAGAAACTAGGGATTTGTTGAAAGCTGGTAATAAAAGTCTGCCCTGGTCTGAGCCGAGACTGCATCGAGAGGGCCTGGGAAAGCATGACCTCCATGAATCAAGTTGTCCTCCCCCCCCCCTCCAATAGCCACTCAATGATGTTATTTGGTTTCTCTGTGTCGGAGAATAATAAACCCACTAGGTTTTCTTGCAGGCCAACACTCCCTCGTTCTCAGGGCCTCGGGCATGGTTGAGGGGCCAAAACAATTTTAATGACCAAACTCACTGAAAGTAAAATGGTTCATAGAGAAAAACTAACAGACTCACAGGTGGCTGGCTCTCCTAGAGGCATCTTCCTGGGGCTTTGGTCCCCCAGATTGCGATGCTCAGTGGACTGAGGTCTAGGGAAACGTCCTTTCAACCCTGCTGAAAGATAAACTTTCCAAAGTGGTGCTTACCTGTTCCAGACACTCTGAAGGCTTTGAGGTTTAGGCAGTGGGAACCATTCTGGAAGGCACACACAGACACGTTAAAAAACAAAACAACCCTAAAACCCTGTTTCCAAAAATATTAAAATTCTAAATGTCTTCTTGGCTTGGCATAAGAGAGAATTCAGGTATCAGGTAGACAAACTAAATGATGTTTAAGGCCTCTTCTCACTATGAATTTTTTATGATTCTGTGGAGGGTCACTATTATGAGTTGAATTGTGTCCGCCGTGCCCCCCCCCTCCAATTCATATGTCGAAGTCCTAACCCTGAGTACCTCAGAATTTGACCTTATATGGAAATAGGGTCAGTGCAGATATAACTAGTTAAGCTGAGGTCACTAAAGTGGGCTGTAATCCAATTTTGACTGGTGTCCTCATAAAAAGGGAAAATTTGGACAGAGATAGACATGTTTAAGAGAAGATGATGTGAAGAGACATGAGGCCAGCCATAAGCCAAGGATAGAGGCCTGAGGTAGATCCTTTCCTCAGAGCCCTCAGAAGGAGCCAATCCTGCCAATACCTCAGTTTCAGACCTACCTTCCAAAACTGTGAAATAATAAATTTCTGCGGTTTAAGCCATCCAGTTTGTGGTAATTTGTTACTGTAGCCCTAGCAAACTAATACAGTCACAATATTAAGTAAAGTCAATAAACATTTATTTAGCATTTACTGTGTGCGGAGCATGTGCCAAGTTCTGGGGAGAACACAAAGAAATCAGAAGAAACCTCCCCACCCTCTCAGAGCTTACAATTCATTTGTAAGAATAAAGTCATGTGATGGATGATGGGGCAAAGTCTCAAAAGTGGTTTAAAAGTAATGGGGCTAATTTTATGTTACTTGCAGTAAAAATAGAAGTGAATCCTGGCTTGAATAATCCAAAATGGATAATAATAAAATTTGTAATTTTCTTTGGAGCACTCTTTATAATATTTACATGTGCATACATGTGTTTCTATTATTCTTGGTATTGACACTAGTTAGCCCCAAATAAAACCACCATAAAAGTGGACAATTTCTCATTCATCCAGGAAATACTAATTGAATGCTTACTCTATGTAAGTGCTATTAGAGGTGCTAGAGAGGACATAAGCCGATGCTCCTTATCAAACCCGTCTACTTCTACTCCAATGAGAAAAAGTATTTTGACTCATTCAAAATGATGTTTTTGCTTTATACTTTTCTTGGGCCTGACATGTAATTGTTTTGGCTTTTAAAAAGCTCTTCTTCCAGCTCCTACAGGAATGGAATACAAGAAGACTGTTTACCCAACAGAGGATTTAATCATAGTTGGGCAAAAAAGTAATTTTTATAATACTGACAAATTCATGTTTATATGTGCACGTAAAAAGACCTGGAAGACTACTCACAAGATAATGATAGAGACTACAGGGGCTCAACCTTTTGTACTTCTGTGTCTATTTTCTTAAATTTATTTTTTAATGAAAATCACATATTATTTTGTAACTTCGAAAGCTAGCTCAATTAAAAATGGAATTCGTAGTGCTAAAAGTTGTAGAGTGAAAGGAGTGGTCAAAGAAAGTGATTTAAGCTGAGTTTTCAAGGTCAGAAGTAATCAAATGGGAACCACTCTGCTGTGTTTTATAGTCCCAGGTGGGCACTAAGGGAAGCACTAGGAGGCACAGGTTATTTACTCTCTATTCAGATGATTATGCCGAAATTCAAATAACCAGTAAAGATAAGACTCTGGTATTTGTTTTGAATGTGTATTTCCAAACCACTTCTGCTGCCCATTTAGAGTTCTTCCCTGGCCAAACAAAATTAAAATACTTCCTCATTCAGTGATATCCCAATTTCCATCAACACAGTGAAGTCCATTTCAACTCCCTTCCAAGCTCTGTTTTTCCCTACTTAGAGCCCTATGCGCTGTGTTTTTTGGCTTTTAATATTTTAACGCTATTTCTAACTTTAGCGTTGTTCTTGTGGGAACATGGGTCTGGAAGAAACTGAATTAGGGTTGGAACACCAAACCTAGGGTATGAAACTGCTGCTCTGTTTCACTGAGACCTAAAGCAAGATACTTTAACCATGGCCAGCCTATGTTCTTGACTTAAGTTGGAGGTCGTATTCTCCTCACAAGGATGAAGTGATTCACTGAATTCATTGATTCATTAAATTAATGAATGTAAAGTGCCTGCCTGGGAGCATTAAAACAAATAAATCTTATATATTTCTCCTTCTTCCTCTTCCTTTGAAAAGTGATGGGCAGTGTAAACCTTGTGTGGCTAGGACCCTGGACCCAGATTTTGAATCCACACTATGCCACTTAATGCTGTGTAACCTGAGGGTGTTGATTCACCTCAGTGGACCTCAGTTTTCCCATCTGCAGAAGGGGGATAATTATAGTTCCTAGTGCATAGGATTGTTGTGAGAATTGGGACAGTGAGTGTAATATAAGTATTTCCTCATGCTTTGCCTCTTTTCTTTCTGCTTCTTTCTCGTGTCTGAGGTCGCATGCGTTTCCCTTTCCTCTCAGGTATTTTTGCCTTATTTTCCTTGGATACCTTTTATAACTTGCTGTTGCAGTCTACTAAAATTCTAACGTGCTCCATGCTTGAGTTCTTATAAGCCTGGCTTGATTTCTTTTGAGTTTTCACTGTAAGCCAGAGGCATGCTCCTTAGCTGTGTGGCGTAGAGTAACATAAACACAACCCAGGTCTCAAATCTCATGCCTGCCACTTATGAGCTCTGTGATTTGGGGTAAATTATTTAACCTCTCTGGAAGTTTCCAAATTTGTAAAATGGAAAATATTTTCCAGTTGCTTTGAGAGCATTAGATAAGATTAAGTACTTGGCATTAATAAATGTTAGTCATATCTTTTTTTTTTCCTTCTTGTTTTTACCTTTCATTTTGGAGAAGTAGCATGGTCCTACACAGTGGTTCTCAAGCCAAGCTGCATATTAGCATCTGACACCTGGGAGAGTTTTGAAATGAAAGGAAGTCCTGGCTCTACCCCCCAGAGAGTCTGAGTCACCACGCCTGCGGAGCGCCCAGCATCAGTCCATTGTTGTATTGTTATTATTGTCTTTAATGGTCTTCAGGTGCTAAGTAAGGCAGAGGACGCTGGTCTAGCAAGGAGAGCTGGGTGTACCACATACTTCTCTGAGGCTCATTTCCCCAAGTGAGTTGGTTGTGGGAATTCAATTAATCAGTGTATATAAAAATTGTAGAATAGGGCCGGCCGAGTGGCGTGTTGGTTAGGAGTTGGTTTGGGACGCCAGCTCTGAGCAGCAGGGCCCGGGTTTGGATCTCACATGAGGGCCAGTGACGCTGTGCCCTCTACAGCTAAGATGGTGAACAACAGCTCAATCTGGAGATGGGCAGCAGTGAGCCGTCATGAGCGGCCGTCCAATGGCCAGCGAGCGATCTGCCCCACTTGGGAAGAGCGCAATGATAATACCAACATGGGCCAATGAAGCGTCGTCCTCCACAACTAGACTGAAGAACAAAAGGACAGCAACTTGTCTGTTTCCCTTCCCCAATTCCACAACACTGTTTCCCTCCCCCAATTCCCCAATAAAATCTTTTAAAAAAATTGTAGAATATAGTGACTGATGCATATGTTTTTCAAGGATGCGGAAGAGGAAGTATGATAAGGAAAAATATCCGTTCTCATAAATTCTACCAGTAAAGAATGACCCGTAAGAGTTGCTCTGGAGACAATGTAACAACACTGAACTTGAGGTTCCATGTCTTGCATAGACTGTGTCTGACTCTCTTCCCACATCTATTTTGTAGCTACATTAGTTGAGATAGAGGGATTGATGTGTCCAGGGTCAGTCAGGTTGATGTTATAAAGCTGAGCCAGAGCCCGTTGCCTGTTTGTGGACTGCCCTCCTGCTCTTATACAGATAACCTGATGTTGAATGGCCTTGACGCTCTCCCATTGATTCCCCCCCCCCCCAGTAGTTAAGCTGAGAGCGATCAATGAGAGAATGATCCACAAACAGATAGGCATTGTACACAGCACCATTTCAAGAGTGGTTTCTTTCTCTGGCTTTGTTAGTGTCTAAAAAGAATAGGTCTGTAGGTAACTTATTTCCCTTCTCCTTCCAAAGATGGTAGTAAGTCATTAGATTAGATTTTTTTTCATGTTCTTCTGCAGTTCTCTTTAAAAGAGTTTTCATTGGAATTCGAGGTAGGAAAAGGAAAGCAAGAGGAAACTTAAAAAGCTGAACATTTTAATTTCTCAACTAAAAGGAGTAATATTAAAATGAGAGCAAGACATAGTCAAATAATGCATTTTTCCATAAATGTTTAAGAAAGCTCATTTCACAACTGATGCAAATGCGGTAACCTTAGTCAACAGAGATTTGTTGGCTGATTGATAAAACATCACCAGGACCATTTTAAGTCTTAGCTCAAGGTAAAACATTTTCTAGTTAATATAGTCTTGCCACAATCACCCTAACGTTATCTTATAGTGCTGTCTACTGAACTACACCTCTGGAATTTCCCAAATACAATGCCTTCTCAAGATATCATATATTTAAATAGTTGATAATGTTGTTAGCCTTATTTCACTATCTCAGGCAGTTACTTTAAAACTGCACCACAAAAATCTGTAGTTATTCTTCTATCTCCATCTTCCCCCACCCCAAATACACACACTCCCACCTTTGAGCCGGCTTGCTTCCCTTTTTTTCAGGTAGCTGGTTTGAAAGCTTTCTTAGTCTTTCTTAGTCATGAGTCTTTGACTCATGGAGTCAAAACTTTATTCTTCTGGTGCTTTGTATTACCAGGCCTTAGATTCCTGTTTGAGACTCATCAGGATGCCAAAAGACAGTGCTCTCACCTTGGCATTTGAGCACGGCACTCCAACTCATATTTGAGGCTTATCACTTTTCCTCCAACCCTGCATCAAACCTTTCTGTGGATTCTAAGAAAATATCCCATCCTCTAAAGACTGTTCTTAACTAAGATAACGGTCTCGGCAGAGGAAGGGGAGGCCAGACCTTGCTCCTTGTGGATGAGTGAAGTGGAGGGAACAGGCAATAGT